TCCAACAGTTGAAGTAAGCTGAGGACAAAGATGTAAAATGGGAAAAGGAAAGAGAAAGTAGGATGTTGTTATAAGGAGCTGAGAAACTGGGACAACGGACGATTAATCAGGACTGTCCTGGCCAAATGGGGACAGTTGGAGGTATGCTAAATGTGGGTTCATTCTTTTCTAGGCTTCCCACACATTGGAAGAAAATAAACCCCACAATCTACCATCAGGTTTGAAGCAATGGTGATGAATCATTTCCCTGTCTGTAGCGATGGATCTAACAAGTGACTGACTCTTGGTGGTTAAGGTATGCTGGAACAAAAAGCTGAATTAAGTGAACAGTAGATTAACTTGGGGCATGGATTTCCACAGCCCCCTTCCAACACAGAAGGATATAGGTAAACCGTTTGGGCTCAGATTGTCGGTGACTCAAGCCAAACCCTTCACAAAAAACTCAGAACTATGCTCATTTAGGGATCATTCAGACATCTTTTTTTTTTTTTTTTTTAGAGCGACAATGCAAATCATCTCATTCATGCATTCCAGGGTTTTTATTCACACTATGAAACCACATTGATCCGCATCAATGCATATCTCTGTTAGTTTGGTTGCTCACACATGCAACCATTTGAATAAAGATGGAGTCGATGATGCAAATGCATTCATAACCCCTGTTAGCAAATATGAAATTAATAAAAATTTTGGGACATGTGGAGTTCCCTCTATGACTATCCCCTAGATGGCAGGTCAGGTAGGCATAGGGAGGGGCTGCCCAAACAACTGGAAAATTCCCTACCAGACAGGTTTGGGAGTTGCTAAAGGGGAAAGACCATTATTCCAAAAGTCAACACATCCTCACATCGGCTCAACAAAGCCCAAGCAATCAGTGCCTTTGTCCAGGCTTCAGCCAAGCCATCAAGCCTATAGCCAGAAGCTAGATATTTGCTATATAAACCCCTAGATTTTTAGACTCCATGTGCTATCTTTGGAGTGCAGCTTGACTCCACGTCAGTCTGATCATAGCTCCCTCAGCCATCCCTTCCCCCCATTTCAATGGCCATGCATCATCATCACCATCATCCACATCCACAGTGGATCCCGGAGAAGCCTTCAGAAGTGAGTATCTCCCGTAGTCTGGCCCATCTCAAGCTATTCCCACTTTTACCCCTTTGCTTCTAAGTGTGTAGTGTGTGTGTTATATTTGTGTGTGTGCAGTTTTCACCTTTAATAAATATTTAGACCTTAATTGAAGAAGCCTGTCTCAGGGTCATCCATTGTGGGATCTCTTAGTCCTCTGGTATACATATTGGTACTCCAGTCTCGTAGGGTGTTGTTAGGGCCCCATTCTAGCATATTTGAGCAAATTATAAATCTGGTCATCTTGGCTTCTACTTTGGCTGCATCAGAAACAAAGGTGGATTTCACAGAGGAGAACTGAGACAGACTGTGCAGGAAGGTGGGATTTTATTTGGTATGTCTCGGCACCACGGAGCTGTTCACAATCCAGAGGGGGGCCTGCCCGTGTCGGAAACCATCGTGTCCCGGCACGGTCACCGTGGGCTTCAGTTCGGTCAGGCAGGACATGGTGAGAGGTTCCCACTGGGCCATCGGGGCAGCAAAGCCTTGGATGCTGGGAAGGGACTCCATCGTCGGCTGGCCTGGGAGCCAAAAATAAGCAACAGCAGATGCTGTGAGATTGACCTGCATTTGTAGTTTGCAACACAGGAAGCTGTCTTATATGCAGTCAGACCTTTGGTCCACACAGTTGGGTTGCCAGATTGAAAACTGAATGATATTTGGGTTAGTATTTGGGTGAGACAACCAACAGGTAAATATCTAGGGATTTCTCCAGATAGAGCAAGGAATGAATCCCAAATGGATCGATTCCCCTTGTACAAAGAAGAAAGGAAGGAGGACAGGAGGGCAGGTCCGTTCCCATCAACTTGAACCAGAGACCTTTTAATTCACAGAAAGAGGTGAAAGGGGACACAAGGGTCATCTACTCCAACCCCTACAATAAAACATCCAACCTCTGTTTAAAAACCTCCCAAAATGATGAGTCCACAATCTTCCAAGGCAGTCCATTCCACCATCAAACAGCTCTTATAGTCAACAAGTTCTTCCTAGGCTGCTGCTACGCTGCAAAATTAATGCAGTTTTACATTGCTTTAACTGTCATGGCTCCATTCTATGGACGTTATCACACGTGGGCCAGAAAGCGAAAATAAAGTGGAAATGAGGCATTCCGAAAATAAATGGAAAATAAACCTTGACTCCGCAAATGGCTTTCACACATAATTACCTTCATTGCGAATTTACAGTAAGTGCATTTAACATTCACACACAAGTGAGAAAAGCATGTAAATGTACTAGAAATGAGCTTCTTGCACATGCGCAGATAGAGGAATGCTTGCTGGAACCATGGCAACAGCAGGGAAATGCTCCCAAATGTGCATTTGCTTTCCACATTACGGTAAATGCGAAATTACCGTAATTGCACATTTGCATTTCCTCCAAACAACCGAATTTCAAAGGATTGCAGTTAACACCAGTTTCTGTTCACTTTCTGTCCAGTTTCTGTGCAACATCGTGTGAAAACAAGGGGCACTAATCCAGTTTCTGTTTGGGTTTTGTGTGGATTAACCAGCAGATTTGCCCCCGTGTGATAACATCCTATGAAATCTGGGATTTGTAGTTGGTTGTGGTGCCAGAGCTCTCTGAAAGAGAAGGCTAAATATCTCACAAAACTACACATCCCAGCATTCAATCGCATTGAGCAGTTAAAGCAGTGTCAAACTGCATTCATTCTGCAGCGACGATGCAGCCCTGATGTTTGGATGGACTCTCTTTTACAGTGATTTGATTCCCTTGTAAAGGGATCTTGTAGCATCTTTGAGACTGAGTAAAAGACTTTGTAATATAAACTTTCAAAGACTTAGTGTACCTCCCCAGAAAGCTCATGCTACTTCGTCTTTTCCTCAGTTGCTGTTGCTGTTGTTATATTTATTTATAGCCTGATTTCCCCCCCCCAAAAAAAAATGGGAAACAAAGCAGCTCAAAGGTGCTACAAGATCCCCTTCCATACTGATACTCTAAACTAAAATGGAGACGTCTCTGCAATGAATCCTTTGGTTTGTGTCCTAACCAACGGAGAAGCAAAAAACAAACTCACTCCAACTTCTACAATGAATTTGAAAACAGTTATCATGCCACCTCTCAGTCTTTTCTTCTCCAAGGGATGACTGTCTACATATTATTGGAATGAAGCTCCAATCATCCCTCGCCATTGGCTATGATGGCTAGTATGGATGGGAATTGCAGTTCCATAATATCTGAAGGGCTCTACTTCCCCCTCTTGCCTTAACTGGAGTTGCTAGAGATTGAACCTAGATATTTCTTCATGGAATATTCATGAAGATATTGATGAATATTCTTCATGAGATATTTCTTCAAGAATGAACCTCACCCTTGATTTCTTCATGAGATATTTCTTCTTGAACTTTGTGAGATATTTCTTCAAGAATGAACCTCACTATTGATCGATGGCCCATTCCCCAAAAGGAAATCTTCCTTGCCTCCTTTGAGTTCAAGATAATTTCTTACTTGGTCTCGCATGAGTCCGCAAGTTGGGGTACAGTCTCTGCAGACGCTTCTCAGCATAATTCTTTGAAAAATGAGCCTCCGTCTTGAAATCGTTGCTGTTGGCAAACCTGATTATGGGACACAATACATTTGCTCATTTAGGATACACCAGTTTGCCTCACCAATAGGTATTTTTGGAACCCATCCCTCCGTTATAATCCTGTCTTGACTACTGCAATGAGCTATCTGTGGGGCTACCCTTGAAGAGTATCTGGAAGATTCGGTTGGTGTTAGTATTGTCAGGTTGGAAATGGGACATGGTTCCTGTATCTTTAATCCTGAACAGATTGCGGAGAAAGACGAGGTGCTGCAAAACTGTGCCAAGTGGAACAAAGGAACTCCTCTCTTAGGAGTTTATCACACAGGACAGATCCCATATAGAAACTGGATTTAAACTTGCAAAAGCAGGTTGTTTTTCAGACGACGTTTGGGCTTAACGTGAACAAAAAGTGGAAAAAACATGCAAAAGCAGGTTGTTTTTCAGACAACATTAGCGTTAATGAGAATTAATGCAACATTAACCCGAACAGAAACTAGACAAAACCTGCTCCTTTTTACATCCAGAAAATCCCAACAGTAAAAAGTGATGGGTTTTGTCTACTTTCTGTTTGGGTTAATGTCACATTAACCCCATTGTATGTGAAAAACTACCCGCTTTTGCAGAATTTTTCTTCTGGTTTGAAAATCCCATTTCTGCATGGGATTTTTTTCAGTTTGCTCCTATGTGATAAACTCCTTGGCCTCCAAACTCAGACTTTCAGCCCCAGCCATCCCCCTCCCAACTTTTATTATTTATGTATTTATTCAATCTATTCCCCACCTTTCTCCCACCAAGGGCCCCCAGGTGGCTTAGAAAATTTTAAATAGAAGTTGGCTAAACTTTTGCTTTTGTTGTTGCTGTGTGTCTTCAAGTTGTTTCTGACTTATGGCGAGCCTATGGTGAGCTTATCAAAGGGTTTTCTTGGCAAGCTTTGTTCATGGGGGGTTGCCTTTGTCTTCCCCTGAGGCTGAGAGAGTGACTTGACCAAGGCCATTCAGTGGGTTCCCATGGCTGACCAAGGATTTACACCTTGGTCTCCAATGCTCAAACCACACTGGCACTTACATACACAAAAGACAGAGGCAGGAAGGGATCTTTTATTGGAGTTTTTTTCAATTGTGTTTTAAATATTCCTGCCTTCTCCTGCATAAGAAGCTACTGGCTCAGATTTCTGATATACGTTTCATGTCCTTAAATCATTGTTGTTGTGTGCCTTCGAGGCATTTCCGACTTATGGCGACCCTATCATGGCATTTTCTTGGCAGGATTTGCTCAGAGGAGGTTTGCCATGACCTTCCCCTGAGGCTGAGAGAGTGTGATTTGGGCTTCATGGAAGAGGTAGGAATCAAACCCTAGTCTTCAGAGTCATAGTCCAACATACAAACCACTACACCACGCTGCCTTTTCCTTAAATGTTATTGCATATTTTTCCTGCATTCGGTCCCACATTGAAAAAATGATGCCTCCTTTTATTACCGTGGGCACCACCGTTTTACCTGAACTGAGACGATTTTTTCAGCTTCTTTACAGTTGGCCCCAGGAGCTGCTGCTCTGGCATTTTCACGGGGGGCAAGTAGGATGGCGCCTTAAGGTTCACAGCCTAGGAGAAAGATGGGAGACGGGTGGTCAAAGGAGAGCCCTTGAGATATGGGTAGGGAGGTGAGCATGCTTAGCATGCAGCAAACCAAGACCAAGAGGTGTCATGATAGTTATTTGTAATCATCTGCAGGGCTGAAAGGTGCAGTGAGCTTCTTTTCTGCTGCTCCAGAGACTAGGACAAGAGAGCAATGGGCTCAAATTACAAGACAGGAAAGTCTGGCTCAACATTAGGAAAAAAACTTCCTGAGGAGGATGATAATAATAATAATAATAATAATAATAATAATAATAATAATAATTTTTATTTATATCCTGCCCCTCTATCATGCAATCAAGGCGGCTCACAACAATTTAAAACGTCATACAATGTTAAAATACCATCCAAATCCCACAGCCCCCCCCCACCCCTTAAAAAGGAATTAAACAATTTTTACATAAATTATACTTGCTGTAAGGAGATGAGCTTTAATTTCTCCAGCTGGCACAGCT